GTCACTACAATTATTTTGAATCGAATAACTTCATAACCCTAGTAAACAGCTGTTGTGGACTTGCACTTCACCTTTTTCCTGAAATCGTGCCCCCAAATTCATCGTTAATTTTCGTATATAATTGAATTCATGATGATAATTAGCAATCTAGTTTATATATTCTAATACGAATATAGAACGATATGGGCTTAAAAAGCTTCATTTCGGAAAAATAAAATTTAACAGGTTTGTCAGCTGTTTAGTAATTCAAAATCAATTTTATTGAAAAGTTAAATGAAATATTTCATATAAGTGCTTAAGTAAGCTTTATTACATTTACTTTTGAAGAGCGTTACCATCAGTTTAAAAGTTCCGAATATCAACACACTTTTCGGATAACCGGACATTCAGATTTTATTTATTATTTACTCAAAAATTCCGCATAGAACCCCCAGCGCTAATAGTAAATATGTATTTTAATTTTTTTTTTTTTNTTTCTTCTTCTTCTTTGACGCCTTCAAAACGCTGCAAGCCGCGTTTCGAACGCGTCAATAGAGAGGAACATTGAATGTTCGAAAAATTCGCAGCGACGGAATCGTGCAAGTGTGCGCTAGCGCATTAAAATGTATGGGTAGCATTGTTGTAATTTTTGGGCTTGCGGATTCGCAACGACAGAATCGCGCCCATGTGCGCTTCGCTTTAAGCCTATTTTATTTGCCTTTACACTGGGCACCAGATGCAAAATGCGATAATTAAACAAAAATGATTTAACAAAAAGTGGCACTTTGACGAATGAGCAATTCTCATTCATATGCATTTATATATACATATCTATGACTTCATGTCTGTACATTAAACCGCACCAGAAAAATAAGTTCGCCATACGCCCCTGAATCTCAATGTATTTTTGTAGATATATCGATATTCTTGTATATAGGAGACAATTTGTTTGCTAATTACCACCCAGTTCTCATCGCTCTAAGGTACCACCCAAATGTCAGTAAATTAAAGACTTAAAAAAAATCATGAAACTTTTTTTTAAGGAAGCCAGTAAACTAAACTTCGCCAAATATCATGAAACCATTTAAAGGAAGTATTTCGATTATTCCGGAAGAAATATTAGAAAAAAAACTATATTGCCGACTGTAAGTTTGTAATTTGCCTTTCAAAAATACTTTGTAGACTCTTTGCTTGTAAGGTGGTACGACCTAATGTACATATATACATACATAGATACATACAATACATACACAGTATGTACATATTTTGGTGTGGAATTACTATGCCTGTGCACTTTTATAGTTACATGTACTCGTATGTATGCATAGGCTATTTTTTTTTACCAGTAGCACACAACTTATAACTGCATTTGTTCAACAAAAACATCAAAAGTAAAAAAAAAATATTGAATAACTGAATAAATAGAATGTAAACACGTTATACTCGTTATTATTTTATTTATTTTTTATTTTTGGAATGTCTTAAGAAAAAACACAAAAAACCTGTATGAAATATTTTATACAAGAAAAAAGCAAATAAATTAGCAGAAATATCATCATCAAAAAAGAATTTTTGTGGAACGTGCAGGAAGCAATTTGTCTATGAATATATTATAATAAACCAGCTGTTTATTCCATCATCAACTTTTGTTTTGGCCAAAAAGAAGATAAAGAACAGCATGCGTACGTATGTATGTACATTAGAGCGTCTCGCCTTACAGGCAAAAAAAAAAATTCACAGTACACCCCCTCATACGAAGTGTTTTTGAAAAGCATTTAAAACAAAAACAATTTTTTTTTTGGACAACCCTAGTAGTCACCCAATTACACTTTTCTTCATATAAGTATGATACACCAATGTGTTTTTGTCTCGAGGAGGGGGTCTTTCCTACGGAAGTTCATTGTCCGCATGTGCTCCATTGTGGTACTGACCCACCAGATCTCAGTTGCTACCACCCTAACGTACCGCCCTAATGACAGTAAATTAAAGACCGTCAAAAATTTTTAATCTTTTCCGAAAGAAGTATTTCGATTAGTTCAGTAGAACCCGAAATAAAACACATTTTATTTTTAGTTGAAAACTATAACCATATCGGTGATAATATGCTTGTTTATATATCGAGCCCTAGCCGCCAAAATAACGTAAGCGACATTTTTTTCAAAATTTTTGATGCAGAAATGCATCTAGATGCTCTAGGAATAATTCTGCATCAAAAAGAAAATTTTGAAAAAAATGTCGCTTACGTTATTTTGGCGGTTAGGGCTCGATATTTTTATACCCGAGCGCACTCGTGCACAAGTAAAATGTAATTGGGCGACTACTAGGGTTGTCCAAAAAAAAAAAANCTAGCCGCCAAAATAACGTAAGCGACATTTTTTTCAAAATTTTTGATGCAGAAATGCATCTAGATGCTCTAGGAATAATTCTGCATCAAAAAGAAAATTTTGAAAAAAATGTCGCTTACGTTATTTTGGCGGTTAGGGCTCGATATTTTTATACCCGAGCGCACTCGTGCACAAGTAAAATGTAATTGGGCGACTACTAGGGTTGTCCAAAAAAAAAAAATATATACATATATCTTTTTAAATGCTTCTCAAAAATACTTCATATGAGGGGGTGTACCGCGAACTTTTTTTTCGATGCGGTCTAATGTACGTATATTAGTCAGCGACGCGCAAGCCTCTCTTTCTACTTCACCAAACACGCGGGTACTATAACTGTAGGCATGTGTGTAAACAAATACTAACACCAAAAATAGCCGTAAGTGAACGGATTGTGCAAAGTCCAAGCAACGTGTTGAAGGTTGCTAAGGGTGACGAACTCAGGATTTGTTAATAACTGTCTCGAGATAGTTTAACTGAAATCTGGTTTCATGCAAAAAAAAACAAAAAATAAAAAAACATTTACAGAAACAAAACAAAAACGGCAAAAGCGCCGAAAATATATCTGAATAGCATTTACCTATTGAAATTTATAGCTTTTGCATAATATGTATGTTTGTATGTACGGTATGTGGCGGTTTTATTTTCTTTTCTTTTTAGGAAGTTTGCATAAAAGTGAAGATACGACTTTCTCATGAGAATGCCTTTTATATAGCTTCATCGATGTGAACTACTCTTTTTACCTGTTTATATGTGGCCAGTGTTGCCACAATTATCTTTTATTTAGTTACCAAAATTACCAGAAAAAGTTACCAAATTCAGCAAGAAATTACCATTCTTATTTTATGTGAAGAACTATATATATGTACATATGTATATATCAGGGCCGGATCTACGGGGGGCGGGGGGTAATTTTGAACAGTCACTTCCATCCGTATAAGGCTCTGACAACAAAACAAGTGAGGGCATCTGATCACTAACAGTAGCTTTATTCCAATTTCTCATGGAGGCGAGGCAATACCACTTGAACACCGAGAATATCCGGTTTGGCATTCCTGTTTTCCTGATTTGCTCTTTCAAGCTAAAACGGCCGGACAGATTTGGATAAAATTTTACATACAGATAGCTTATGACCCGAATTAACATAAAGGATATTTTTGAGCAACCTGTTTGAAAGATTTAAATCAATTAATTAATAAGTTAAATGAAATATTTTCATATGGCAAACAAACGAAAAATGTTTTGAGAAAGCTACAATTCGAAAATGTATTTGAAAAGTGTTGCCACCCCTCTAGAAATTCGAAATATATTTAAAAAAAAGTCATGAAATATTTTAATATAGGTACCAAACGAGAGAGATTAAAGGAAGCTTTATTTCGCATATATTTTTGGAAAGCGTTGCCATCTGTTACGAAAATTTATGTGGGTATCAAACGATTAAACAATATATCGTTTTAAGAAAGCTTATTTCGAAGATTTTTTTAACGAGGGTTCCCATCTGTTTAGAAATTCATAATAATTCAGGTGTGTCCGCAAGTGATACACATATTGCAG